AGTCACTACATGCAGGAACTCAAAGTTTTCTGCACACATACCACTTTCTACTACATATCACATTCTGCATTCAGTACACATCCTGCTAACCTGTCCATCATTACTGGTCTACAGGTTGAAATGAATGAAGACCTGAACATCAATAAAAGTTAATAGGATGGCAGGATCTTCGGCATTTATTTAAACATGCTTCTTTCAAACACAGTCAAGCAGAAAAAGTTAGACAACAATCAAGCCAGTAAATGTCAAAACAAGGTTTTTACAGGGAAATTCCTTAGGTGAAGAACATACCACTCAGATGAAGGGAAGATTTCATCTTACTTAAACATTGAAAATAAGTCTATTTGTCCACAGAGAAAGAAGGTGATTTTTCCCGAAATGTCCCATAAAAAACTTTTTAAAGCTACATTCAATTAAGACAAACATCTGTATGCTTCTTTTCACAGATGCAATCTTTGCTAACTCCACTGCACAGTATTTGCATTATGCAACTGATTTTATTGCTATTATTTTACCACTGCTGTACTTCTAAAACTTCTAAAATGCTGATCAAATTGATAATCCTTAAAAGAAAAAAGAGTTCGTCTAATGCATCTCAAAACCAGAAAGAGGCCTTCCAAAGCTCCAAGACCATTACCATCAGCTTCTCTCTGAGGTAGTAGCTGGTCACAACAGCAGCAAAACTGCACACAACTAGAGCACATTAGGAGGTTTAATTAGGTATCTCCTATGACTGACCTTTTCTGCCGGATGAGGGACATTTATTTTAACCCAGTTATTATGCAGGCATTTATTTGTCTGAGCATATGCCTGGAAACAAAGATTATTCTTTAAAAAATTAGGTTTAAAGCAACACATTTGAACTTAATAAAGACAACAATAAAAAAAATATTACTATTGTTAAACATACCACCCCATACAACAAAAATTAAAGTTGTATGTCCTTTATGTGTATAGGTCACAGTAAGTCTGTAGCAATACACAAAATTTCTCAAAACTAAATCTCTTGTCTCTACAATATAAAAAAAAAAAAAAAAAAAAAAAAAAGTAGAAATCTAAGATGACTTCTGAGGAAATTAAATCCAGAGTGAAACAATCTGATTTTAGAACAAGTACCCAGAAGAATACTGTGCCTGTAAAACTTGATGAAACAATAACTCTTTAAAATCTACATCCATTTATGTACATCTTTTTGTCTTGTGGGACCAGTACATAACCATGGTAGCAGTAACTTGAAATCTCTTCAACCGTCCTTTAGCATAACAGTCCTGGGCAACAGATACAGAGGGAAATGGAATAGATTATGTCAACTATTTATCCATGTTCTCAGAAATAGCTTAAACTAGACCTTAGAATACCCATTTCCTATCTGTACACTCAGGCTGGCAGTTCACTGATCCTCTTCTAACATAATAGAACAAATTCCACTAGAAGAGTTTTAAAACACATGTAACAGAAACCAGCACCAAATCATAGGGATATAACTACACTTACTACAGGTTCCCCTGAAATACTTTGCTTCCTTCCTAGAAAGATCCAGTGTGTACAGTTTAAACACCATCTCCAACTGTAGCTACAAGAACAGCTTATGTATGCCATACCTGAATCAGAGGTGAAGTTGGCTGCCCACAGTCTCACAAAGCACATGGTGCAGAACACAACTCAACGTACCTTATTTCCATGCTCCACCAAACTGCCCGGACTGTGTCCAAACACCATACACTATTAATGATCCAGTGTTCAGTCACAGGACTCAGTGAAAATTTTGTATCATCTTTATTCAGCACAACTAAAAATGAGGATATTCACTTCTACACACCCTTTTGTTTTTACTTAGCCAGTACCAGCCAATTTTCAGCCCCGTCTTTCCTTCAGCTAATACGAATTTCTTTTTTCCTCCTGCCACCACAAAAATCTTTTCAGAACAAATGCTGTGTTCAGGTCGTCTTTAACAGTTATTTAAATGTCTGTCATTGTTTGCTTTCTTCTGTGAACACCCACATGAGCAGGATGCCAAAAAGTTCTGCAAGTATTGCTGCTATCAAGCAAAGCAACACAAAGTGCATTTCAATTTCTCTCAGAATTACCACTACAATGGTAAACTGATTCCTTCACCTACTGGAGAGATAAATCACTGATTCATTACAGCTACACATCTAAGTGTCAACACTGTATTCTTAAAGACCTCTGATGGATTTCAATCACTAGCCAACCACTAGTTACATAGTGAGATTAAATACGTAGCGTTTAAATTGTCACGAAAAGTATTTCCAGTTTTGCATCTTCAATCATATTTTTCTGTCTCCTAGAATTTGCCAACATCTTGCCAATGTTTATGGACATACTGCCAAAGAAACCTTCAAATGTTACTAAATGTACTTAATTCTAAAGCTTTTATAGCACACTCCAAGTAATCCTTTGGTTTAAAAGCTCTGTAAAGAAATGAACTTTCACCAAGAACTTTAGTTAATTTTTCTATACTGCTCAAGCAATTAACATTTCCAAAATGAACTGAACTTCTTAGCACCACAAGGGATAAAACTAATCTCCTTCATTTTATGGGAGAAACAGTGACAAAAGGATGAAGCAGTTAGCCAGGGCTGCATAGCAAGTTACAGGCTAAGGAGATATCAAAAACAAAGCCAAATGCAATTTTCCATTATTCCTATGGGGAAGATCACCCCCCAGACAAACTCACCTCTAAAACCCCTTTTCCAAATCAAATTTAGCACTATAATCTGGCTTTTTTTTGCCTCGAGGGTTTTGAAGTCAGTGTCATTGAATAGAAAGAAGTGGGTTTGACATATAAGCATAAAAAGATTTGGGGGACAGGCTATAGTTTATCATTGTTTACATCAGCTGCTGTAATTCATTTATGGGAGAAGAAACATACAGGTCTTGTTGAAATACCACTTCCCATGTATATTAAATGTCTGGCAAAAAACAGTAGGCAAAAGGGGTCTTGTAGATACTTCGCTGCTCAATCAGCTTCTGCACAAGAACATTCCAAAAGGGCCAGAAACACAGCACAAGATTCACAGTCCTGTAAAATGTGTTTATTTAAACAGAGGGTGACCCAGAGCCTCTGAAAGAGGGATAAAGATTCAATTTAATAAGCAGCTTTTTTGACTGCTTCATAAAAGAGAAAAATCTAAACCACATAATCTTTACACTAGCCTAAAATGTGGTTTTATGCTAATATTTTCTCACAGGCTACAGAATGCCATGTTGATGATCTGGAGGGCATGCCCAGACCTTTGGTCACACCTCACCAAGCCTGTGGCTGCTCTTATGGGACAAGATTAGTGACCAAGTCTCTGAAGAGCAGAGCTTTTCAATTCAGCATTCTGAACCAGGGCTCTCAATAAAAAATTAGCTACAAAGAAAACATTGTCACTAATTATTTTCAGAATCTGCAAATGGCTCAGTAAGCAGCTCGCTGTTTAACCCTCCGTTACTCCCTCAACCGCAGAAATACCTGTTTCTCCACTCCCCAAACTTCAGACTATAAATAACCTTCCCAGCATTTCTCCAGAAGGCATCAAACTCTGAAGTACAGCGTTGTCCACCAAACACACACGAATCTGGCAAGATACGCCACATTACTCAGTCATGTGCTTCCACAACCAGCAAAGAAATTACAGTCCTAGGGGCATTCTTGTCAAGATTGAAGAATTTTGTAGCTTTTTCTACTTCAGAGGGGAGCTAACAGATAATACCATTCAACAGTACACAAGCCAGCTCCCTTTTTATTTTCCACTACCTCAACTCCTGCTGAATACAAGAGGCATAAGAACAAATAAAGAAAAAAAGCCTCTAAAACAAAAATGAAAATTAAGAAGGAAAACCTCACTTGGTTTAAAAATGTCTAATAAATACCAATAATTACATTTTACAGAATAGTAAAATTTAGCATTAGCTTCTGGTGTGTGTGTTATTCAAGAACTTTTAAAGCTATGCTTGGTGCAGTTATTTGAATTACTCTTTATTTTTCTTTGGAAAAATATATCTTTGTGTCATTTATTTCTCTTCATTACAGACTGTGACTTAATAAAAGTAGATTTATTCTGCTTTATGGTAGAATTTATTGATCTTGAGAATGGTTATGTCTGAACAAATGCTGAAAGTCAATAATGCCACTCAGTAAGCAGGAAGAACTGTTTGCTTTTGCACTGTAACTATCAAATCCAGGCGGCCAATAAAGGAGACACCTGAGTTATTAAACCAAAGTGTCCACAGATCTCCATGGTTTATTACACACTTTCAGAGGAGCACTTTTACCCCAACCCATAATGAATCATTTATTTGAAAGATGTTGGTCTTGAATAATCCACTATCCTGTCCAGATCAAGCTATGCATTTCTACATGATTAATGCACTTTCAAGTGATGACACATTGGCAAGATTTGTATTTTATTAAGTATTCAATAGGACTAAGCCACATAAAAAAGCTGAAAGCTTGTCAGATGTTGATCTGCATTTTTAAACAATCCCATAAAAATTTCTGGTTCTAAGGTTTCTAACAGAGAAACGGTCAGATCTGCAACCTTTGGGAAAAAACAAACAAACAAACAAACAAACAAACAAAAAGCTAAAATTTATTTCTGCCACCTTTGCTCCAGAGGCGGCAATCTCTCATTGCAAGATAGATCAGCCTCTGGGACAACAAACTCTGAAGAACATCTCCTGCCTCCCATCATTACCACTGGACAGGACCAATCCTTGAGATTACAGAACATAGCTTTGAGATCAGACTTTCGGTCTGCACAGTCGAGCCCAGACTCAGCTATAATTTGTACTGAACTGCTACCAGTTCTCTCTTGTCCATCTATGGATAGACAAATTAATAAGTGAACACGTATGTGCTCTCCCACACTTAGATTTGAAGGTCTAAAGAGCAATCTGTAACAAATACAGCTAATATATCAACACAGACACCCTCTCAAGAAAAAAAAAAAAATCCCACACCAACGACCCTTCATCGTCGATAGAAGCATCACCTAACGATGCAAAGATAAGGCATTTCACACACTCCTACGCAGGACGGCGACTTCCCAATAAACCAAGAGCCAGCCAGGTGCGACTGACGCCGTCAGGGAACCGCCCCTGCCGCCCTGAGCCAAGCGGGGCCGCCGCCCGCCCTCGGCCC